CATCAAAAGCCAATAGCCAGAAGAGAGATAATGAGTTACTCAAAGGAGCTGTTCACAGAGGGTCTTCGTCAGGGAAGAACAACTCACCACGAGTTAATGTGACCAGTGGACCAGTGGTGAGAAAACGGAATCCAAATGTTGAAAAAGGATTCTGCCTCTCATCTCTTAGCCCTCACCAGCCCGTTAACCATGACTTGTTCAGAAGTCCTCGTTGATAATCATTCTTTCAATGTGTCATGTCATATAAGGAGGGGAAATTCCTCCAACAGAGATTCCAGGTTCCCACCAACCATTCATTGCTCAGGATGGCCCTCAGAAACACAGCCATAGCGATACGTCACAGTGTCACCCTGGAAAGGAACGGTGATACTACCGGGCTGATACTAAGATTGGTATTTCTTATTTAATAAACCATGGTAATTTCATATATATACTAAGTCCTCCATTCTTGAAAGACCACAGCATTAACCTCAGAACTGAGTCCCTGGTATATAACACCATCAATACTTTGAAACTGGAGACAGATGAACTAGACCTTGATAAACTGGATCTTGAATCTGGATCTCGGCTAAATTCTGACTTTTTCAACTCACAAAGGCCCTCCACATCACCCTCTGTTGCAAACACTCTCCTCCCTCAAGACCACATCTTCCTATTAAGTATCTGACATTCCTTCTTGCACCCTGGCCCATTTCCAAAATATCAGCCCCTAGATTTCAAACCCAAAAGGATTCTCTGCAGCTACCCATTACCCTCTCCGTATTCACTCAAAACCAAGAGAAAGGGAGTCTTACTGGGGATGTGCACAGCACTGGGTAACATGACACCCATTTCTTTGAGTAGCCAGTCTTTAAATTATAATACGCATTCATCACTAATGCCTCCTCCTACACTGTGACCATTGCTATTTTAATTTTTAAAAACTGTAGAGCAGAAATGGAAAAGACAATGGTACCTCCACAGGAACTCCACCACCTACATAGAAATTTTTTTACATAACTTATTTATGTTTTTTTTAAAGACAGTCCTAATTTAAGGAATATTTTCTTCCATCTCCCACATTATTTTCTATCATTAAGTAGAAAGGAATGCTATTTTGATGATCTAACGAGGTCGAGGAGACTTGGAGATCATTTCCCTAAACCAGGAAGCCCACAGACACTCCTCCCCACCTCACCCAGCTCCTAGCTCCCAGATCCCAGGCTGTAGCTCTCTGTGCCTCATGGGCAACTGTTTCCCAAGCCCGCAAAGAAGCAAGGCTGATAAACCTGGGGAAAATCACTAAGCAAAATCATCACCCCTAATTCACTGCCCCTATTTGTTCTTTCACTGTTTTCTTCCTCTTAAAATTCAGGCCATCAGAGATTACCAGGTGCAAAATGTCATTTTCTTGAGCAGGGAATTGAGCCTCAAGGACAGGAAGTACCCAAGGGCACAGGTTCAAGGCAGAGCCACTAGGAAAACAAAAGTCCCCTGTTACCCAGTGTTCCAGACACCTAATTTCCAGTTCAGCAATTCAGTCTCAGCAGACGAGTGTCCAAGCCTGAGCCAGCTGCCTCTGTAGAAAAATACGCCCCAACTCTGCACACCATCTTTGTGCTTCCGACTGTCCCTCCAGCTCAAGTGTGCATCTGAGAAGCCAGTCCTCCTCAAGACTGGCTGCACCTGGCTCCCACCACCATCTCAAGATGATCACTTTTACACTTTTGGGACAATCCACCTTGTTTCCCAATCTGATGTTAAAGCAAGGGTTGGTATTTCAAAGGCCGGCACACGGGGTGGATTTTGTTGGCACAGGAGGCAGGCACAGGGATAACAGCGAGAGTTGTGTTTCCTCCTTCACTGTCAACCAAGAGAACTGGCAGCCAATACATTCACCTCAACCTCTTCCTCTCCCAAAAGCAACAAGCAAAGACTCTTCCACTTAAGGATGGTCCACAACCTTGTTACACTACCTTCAAAAGGATCAGGATGGAGAGTCAAGGTGTCAGTTTAATCTGGTCACTGGAATGCAACTGGGTCCCAAAAAGAATATTCAAGATTCTAAACTACCCTAATAACATTATTTATACTACATTTCAGTTGAAATATTGAGCACTTACTACTTACTACACACCATACTAGGGGACACAAAGACTAATAAGATGACTACCTGTCTCCAAGTAGCTCACTGTCTAGTGGGAAAATCAGATATGCAAACAAATGGCATGCAACACTCTAGAAATAATGTATGAACAGCTGTGTCCCAGAGAGAAACCAGCCACACAAAAGCAATCTGTGAAGACCCGTGTTGCACAAAACTCAACAGGAGGCACCATGGGAGTAACACACTGGCATTGAAGGATGACAGTAAAATCTAAAATTGGAAATAAACATATGTCTAAAACATACTTTTTCCAGCCAAAGAAAACACAGTACAAGATGAAGGAAAGTTACTAGAGAGGTAGGTGTAAGCTCCATATTATACAAGAGCTGCTCATTCCAGCTAAGGTGATCAGGAGAGACCTCCAGGCCTAGAAGACACATTTGAACAGGATTTGGAAGAACCAGGGGCATTATTTTGATAAACTGAGGGCAGGAAAGGGCATTTCAAAGACAGTACCTAACAGAAGCCATGTAGGCATTATACATCTTTCTTGACTTATGATGGGATTACACCCCAATAAACCCAATAAATTGAAAATATCATGTTTTATACACTTAATCTCCAAGCATCATGGCTTAGCCTCGCCTACCTTAAATGTGTCCAGAACACTTACATTAGCCCACAGTTGGGCAAAATCATCTAACATAAAGCCTATTTTATAATAAAGCATTGAATATCCCATGGAAGTTACTTAATACTGTACTGAAAGAGAAAAATAGAATGGCTGTCTGGATCCAGGTAGTTGTAAGGCTGTTGGTCGTTCACCCTCGTAATCACGTGCCTGACTGGGAGCTGCGGCTCGCTGCCTCTGCCAGCATCCCGAGAGAATACTGTACACGTGTAAATAGCCTGGGAAAAGATCAAAATTCAAAATCTGAACCATAGCTCCTCCTGAAGGCATATCACTTTTGCACCATTGCAAAGTCAAAAAATTATAAGTCGAACCATCATAAGTTTCAGGGACCATCCATAGAAGGAGGACCATCAGGTTCCCACGAGCCCAGGTCACGGAGTGTGGTGGGAGGTGAAGCTATAAAGGTTGCAGATCTCAAATATACATTCAAATACTAACTCAAATAGGAATCCAAATGCTAAGGGGTTTGCATTTTGTTCTGTAGGCAAGAGAATGGGACAAGAAAAGGCACAATCAGAGCCGTGCTTTGAGGATCACTGTTGCTGGAATGGTTGGAGATGGGTGGAGGGCAGTGATTGGGAAGAGCAAAGGTGGCTATTAAAACAGTCCAAGAGGGTGAGAGTCTGAGTTAGAGGAATGGCAGTGGGTCTGGAAATAAGGAGTAGAAATGAGAGACTCAGCAGCTTGTGAGATTGCTACTTGCTCCCATGTAGTGGAGGGACAGGAGAGCTCTCAGCGACCCCCTGTCCTCAAGGGTGGATGATGCTCTCAACACCAGAACCAAGGAAATCAGGAGACACTGCCTCCCACTTCCTCTTCCATCTATGCCTGCTTCGCCAGTCAAGGTCATCTACCATCGCCACTGAGCTGCAGCTGCTCGTGGTCTTCCTCCCTCATCAGTCAGGGTCTACCCATCCAGGAAAGTAAAGCTCACTTAAGGCATTTGCAACAGACAAAATTTCATGCAAGGAACTGGTTGCCATGATGGTTGAGACTGGCATCAGCCAGAGGCTACCACCAAGACTGGAAGGAAAAGGCTACCACCAGGAGACAGTGGAAGACCTTATTCTCCCCCACTTCCTTCTCCCCACTCCCACTCTTACCCTCCGATTTCCCTTTGGCCAAAGCCAGCTGAAAGCCAGCTGACAGTGGAGCCTGAGTAAGGAGCTGGCAGGGTCTGTCCTCTGAGACACACAGTAGAGCAGGGCAAGGAAGCCTAGACCTTGGGACAAATGGGCCCAAGACCCAGCAGATTTCCTCTGTACCCAGCTGTTGACTAAGAACTGCTGGTCAGTGCCCCTGCGTCCCATGCATGAGATCCCAGCTGAGAGGACTCTCACTGGGGCGAAGGGGCAGAGATGGGGGGGACACGGAGCCAGCCACACCTGCACCTGCTCATGCCATTGTCCTTGGGCTCGTCCTCAATGGCTCTGAGGAGGAGCTGTTCTCAAGGACCTGAAATCCAAGCTCACTTCACTTAGAGACAAGGAAGGAGGGAAACGTTTCCTCCACTTTCCTTCTTACCCACCATCCCTCCTCCCTTTTCTTGCAACCATTCTCTGCTCTCCGTTGCCCTACTTTTCTCTACCCCCACCACCCTTCTTCAGACTGTACTTCCATTTTCAATTCCTCCCTTCGTCCACCTACATCTTCTCACCCCTTCTTCCTCCTGAAGAAGAGCATGAGGTAACAAGTTGCTTGGTAACACGCAGTGTTAGGCATGCCTTTGATGGTGAATCTCATGTCTCTGGAGCCTAATCAATTGTTCCTGGAGCAGAGTAGACATTCCACAAAACAATAATGTATCCTGTCATCATTAAATTATGTCTGCACTTTTTTTTGTTTACTATGGCGAGAATTTGGGTAGCTTCTGGAATGGTCTCCACCACATCTGGCTAGGGAATCTGGTGAGGCAAGGAGCTACCAAATAAGAAATCAAGGCATATGACACCACAAGATTTGAAAGTTATGTCAAACTTTCATTTCCCCACAAGCCATTAAAATAGAAGATATCTTTTACAGCAGCTCATGGGTGCCCATAAATAAATGATTTATGTGTCTCTGCTCAGCTTCTGACAAGTAACAGTTCCTTGAAGGCTCAAAAGAGGACAGTCTTTAGAAATGTGAATTTTTGTCCTTCCCATTTTCCTTCAGAAGCAGGTAATACCCACCATGAAGGGGAGGTTCTTCTGTGACCTCATTCGGGGATGGAACTTTTAACCAAAATGGTGTCACCCCTGAACCCACTCCGACACGCCAACGTAAATGACCACAGAAGGAGCAGAGCCCTATAAAAAGAGAGAAGGCAGCGCTACACTTTATCCATCTCGCAGCAAACACAGGCTCATCCATCCGCACTTAACGGGGAGAAACTACCATGGCTCCTGGAAGAACTTCATCCGCGGTGAGTCCTGCACTAACGTGCGATGCTCTTGTAGGTTTGGACCAGATGATATTTCCGTACTGTAGGCATGAAATTCTGGACTCTAACTATAGAAATCCAAGAATACTGTATAGATAGGATGGGAAATGAAACCTTTGATAGATACTTGTCATTGTATAGCATTTTCAAGAACTGGTACATATCAGTTTGAAAGTTGAGATTAAAACTGAAAGATAACTATACTGGGGCTAAACCACATAAGAAGTGTCACGTGATGCTGGGCAGTTAAAAAAAAAAGCATGTTTATTGCAAATCTGTTTTGCTGAGTACAAGGGATTTAATATCATTCTCCTGCCACATTTTTCTTTAATCTAAAATAAGATGGGTCAATATCCTTGAGGATGTAATAAGTTGTGGCAGTGACTTTTCTATTATCCTATTATTATCCTATAGTCTTGGTACATAACCCTCTTTATCCTAATTAGATGCATGTATAGCTGTGGCTTAGAGTAAATGGTCTTTATATTTTTACTTCTTTTTTTTTCTTTTTCAGGGGGAGGGGAGGTAATTAGGTTTATTTATTAATCTTAATTTTCTTTTTTAATGGAGGTACTGAGGATTGAACCCAGGACCTCATGAATGCTAAGCATGCACTTTACCACTGAGCTATTCTGCCCCCTTATACTTTTAAAATTTCAACTTAAAGCATCGTTTTTGAAACCCAGTTTGCTTACAGAATCAATATGTGTAAATTTAGAAAAACTGGGAAATATACCTAAGAAAACACAAGGGGGATCCAGTTTTTGTTAGATGTTTGCCAGTGGTACCAACAGAATTTCTAACATCAATACTGATACCACATGAATTTTCTACAGCCTCTTCTTCTAAGGTGCACATCTGACTTCACACAGGGTTTGACAGAATGCAATGAGAAAGATCAGTGGCTCAGGAGGGCATTTCTTCCTAGAAAATCAAGGTCATTTTCATCCCAATGACCTGATAACAATGCATGTACTGACTGGATGATGACTTGCCATTTTTACTAAAATTACTGCTAGCCAATGAATAATGTGGCTTTTTTAAGTCAAAAAAAAAAAGAAGAAGAATGCTCAAGACTGGTAAAAAACTCCATGGTCCTAATATTATTTTGGTCATCTAACCAGTTTTTCATTTAAGTGATCTGAAAATTGAGCATAGATTGTCCTGGAACGTAGTGTGTTCTCCACGATCAGCGATACAATTGTCACCGCAATTTGTTAACAAAAACCAGGCGGTACTAATCGAGTCTCCCACCTCTGTCTCCTTCCCCACTCAGTTCCAGTTGCTGCTGCTGCTGCTGCTGGGTCTGGCGGTGGTGGTGAAGGCAGGAGCCATAATCCCACAGAGCCCAGGATGCCCGATTACCGAGGACAAGAAATTCCCTCAGCATGTGAAGCTCAACTTGAACATCCTTAACCGGAACACAAATTCCAAAAGGCCCACCGATTACTATAAACGGTCCACCTCACCTTGGACTCTCCAGTACGTAAGAACCCCAGATACAATCTCTGCATTTTTCTACAGAATATGCATCAGACTGCCAGTTAAATCACCTTGAGAATTATATTACTCACACAGAATCATTAGTCAAACCTGGACGGGCCACTGTGCAAACCACTGATTCTCAAACTTTCATTCTACGGGCTTCTTTGATAGAGCACAGGACACCCCCTCCCCCATGACACCTGTTCTTGGTTCTCATTGTCCCTGACACCAAAAACCCACCCAAATTAATGGTGGTCACCCCAATATTCATGATACCCCGTTTATCATAGGAGATTAGGCCTTGAATTCTCTTTACCAGAGCAACCATTGAGAAGATTTGTTGAAAATAACTATTAATTAACTGGAGTTTTTCACACTTTTTAAAAATCATACTAGCACTGGGAAAATATAGCTTGAACCCAGTGGAGGAAAGATCATGCTGTGCATTTCCACTTCTTTTTGAGTTAAGTCTTGATCTACACCCCCTCAGATTTATATTTGCTGTGCCCTTAGTGTATCTAGTGTTTAGACCCCATGAATGATTAAATACAAAATGTATTTTGATAGTCTGCTTTTAGGCAAATAAGCCTCAGTGATGTGGCGCCTACAGATTCACCTGATTGCAGGGTTTCTTCTTCTTACTTCTACTTGTTAATAACAGTTCAAGTACATCAATTCAAAAGTCAAAGCAATTTATTCGCTCAGCTGGAGGACAGAGAGAGAAGGTTACTGAGGGGCTTACGATTTTGTTTCCAGCCCTTCATGTCAGCCTGTTTCATGAACGTGCTGTTGGGTGAAATTCTGATGCATTCCCTGTTTCAAAGACACGCTTCATTATGTCTTATTAACAGTTATCTCCTTCCTAGATGATTCCCTTAGTCTTTTTTTTTCATTTATCAAATGTACCCTAAAAAGAGTATCCTTTGTATCAAACTTAAATCCTTTCCATAGTTTCAGTCTCTTATTTTGTTTATTCCTCAAAGAAACTGGGAGAAACTAATCATTGTCTTCTTTTCTACATTTCATAAGCTTCAAAATCTAAGTTTCCTCCCAAACAACTTCTTTTCAGGACAGTAACAAACTGCACTTAGGGGATTCGCAATGCCTATAATTTGTCACCCTGTGAGTTTGCCTACTTTGTTTATTCCTGTTTGATTTCCTCTGCTTTACCAGGAATTCACTTTCTTCCTGGCTTTTGTCTCCCCTGCAGCCGCAACGAGGACCCCGAGCGGTACCCCTCTGTGATCTGGGAGGCCAAGTGCAGCCACTCGGGCTGTGTCAACGCTAAGGGGAAGGTCGACCACCACATGAACTCCGTCCCCATCCAGCAAGAGATCCTGGTCCTGCGACGGGAGCCTCAGCACTGCCCACACTCCTTCCGGCTGGAGAAGATGCTGGTGGCCGTGGGCTGCACCTGCGTCACCCCCATTGTACGCCACGTGGCTTAAGAGATTTTGGCCTGAACCTCCCCACCCACTCCCCCTCCACCAAATCAGTTAGGCTTTCTGAGGAGTAGACCCAGCCCCTTTTCTGACCAAACTCACCAAGGTTCTTAAAGTTTTTCAACAAATGGAAGTTCCAGAGGGAACACTTTGGTGCAGATGTGGAATCTGAACCATTTTTCCCTTTCCCCAAGGAGGAGGTTTTAGACTGAGTATGAATTTGCTTCTTGTTGGCTTTTCTAATGGCTTTAAGTTATTTATGTATTTAATAGGCCCTGAGATAATTCTGGGTCATAAGATTCCATTTTAATGAATTACATACCTTATTTTTGTATTTTTTAAGACAAGATTCCAGACTTGGGAATTTTATTATTTAAAAGGTTAAAAAACCTCTATTTATATGAGCTATTTATGGATCTATTTATGTTTCTTCAGTCTTTAGAGAAAGGTGAGGTAGCATGAGTATCTGTTGTGCCTCGGGAAATCTTAGGATTATAATTCTTAGTTTGTACTGCCTATGTTCACAGGATTTTCTCATTGTCTCTTAGGAGTACATGACATGATTGAAAAGAAAGACTAAACCTCGTTTCATATTTATTAACTTAATTTTGTAAATTGTTGACGTTTCACAAGAGAGACGGCAAGTCTAATTTTGCTCTGTTAAACTCTTGTGATAAAACCAATTTGTACCAATAAAGTTTGAGAAGAAAATTTGTTTCCTTGATTTTTTTTCTCATTAAAATTCTTGCAGTAAGCTCAGCTCTTTCTCAGTTGGAAGAGCATGCCAGTTTGTCCACAGAGCAAAACAAAACATGCCTTTGAGTAAAAACATCCTCCACCCACCCCAAGTCCAAGTCGCAATTTTACTCTATTCAAGTCAACAGAGAACAGGGGCTTTCACGCTATTAAGCCAACACTGTGGACACAAGCATGCTGGAACGAATTAAGCAAGTGAAAATAATGGGAAAATGATGTGTCATTATTGAAAATCAGTTTATCACAGACTCACAGGCATAGAAAACAAGTTTATGGTTACCAAAGGTGAAGGGGGGGAGGGATAAATTAGGAGGGATAAATTGTACCTGGGATTAACAGGTACAAACTACTATATATAAAATAGATAAACAACAAGGTCCTAATGTATGGCACAGAGAACATACTCAATACCTTGTAATAGTTTATAATGAAAAAGAATATGAAAAGGAATATATATATATATATAACTGAATCACTATGCTGTACACCTGAAACTAACACAACCTTGTAAACCAACTGTACTTCAATTTAAACAAAAAATGTTGTTTAAAAAAAAATCATACAGAGGGGGAAAAAAAAAGACCCTCCCAAAAATATGACCTGAGTTTGAAAAGGAAGGAGGAAGTACTGGGAGGAAACACTATTTTCAGACTAGATGGCCAGTGTCTCCCATGAAGATTCATGCCACTCAGAGACCAAGAAATGAACCTTTTTCTCTTGCTCAGGCCACACCCCTAGGACACCCCCTCCTTTCCCTCGGCACTCCAGGACACAGAAAAGAGCCACTGGGGCAAAACAAACTTCAAATATGAGAAAAGTTCAGCCCAAGTAAAATAAAAACTGAATGTATTCAATTTCAGAGTAGTTTCAAGTTTTGAGTCATAATCATGTTCCCTCGTCACAGCCCAGTGTCTTGTCTCGCCCTACTTCTGGACGCCGCTGAGAAGTCTCGGGCTGGTCTCCTGAGCTCCCTGCTTCTCGAAGACCATCCTCTGCACTCCTTCATTCTTCAGTCCCATCCAGAGGCACATGGCTTTTCTCTGTTTCTTTTCCAGTTCCAAACACAGGGGCCAACATCTCCAGCCCCTGCGCCTCCCAGTGTTCTGTGCATGGAGATCTTGAGTCTCATGGCCATTCCTATCATGGTCTTCATCCACCAGATCCCTGGGCAGCCACCATGCATGGTTTCCCACAGCCTTTACGCCTGGAAACCTCACCCTAAAACCCTGCTGTTCACTTCCCAATCTTCCTTAAATGGTGGAGGTGAAAATAAAAATGAGTTTTTGTTTTGGGATGGAGGGCAAAAAAGAGCAACTGTATCCACTGTTGTGTTCCATGATTTCCCACCAGACTGTATTTCTGGGAATTTTGTGGGTGGCAAGAGGCAGCTTCCTTCCAAGTCTCTTCTCCCATGATATGTGTTGCTTTTATTCTTCTTTATTAAAAAATTGTATTTATTTTCCCCAGTTAGCACCACCACTCACCCACTGTCTCCACTAGAAACCTGTGAGGCATCCCCGGCTCTACCTTCTCTCCTGCACTCCTGACACCCACACATGACCAAACTCATTACATTTCACTTCCTGAAAGCTCTCAAATTAACCCCGTCCCTGCTCATCTTCGTTCATCTTTGCTCATTGCTCTCCTGCTGATGGAACAGCTCCCTACACGTCCCTGCTACTGCTGCTTCTGCCCCCTCAATCCATCCACCAACCTCCATTTCTGGCACAAAAATCAGATGTGACAAACGCACCCTCAGTCACCTGGCCCCAGTCCTGGTCCTCCTTTATCTCATGCTGCTTCCTCCTGGGTGTGTCACTCACAGTGAAGTCCCTGTTGTGTCCACCCTGCTGATCTTGACCTCACTGCCTGTGTCATGTAGTCCCCTCTACCTAAAGCCACCTTCTCCCCTCCTCTACTCCCCTCCTCTACTCACACCCCGCTGTTATGGTCTGAATGTTTGTGTCCCCCTGCAAAATTGATATGTTGAATTCGAACCCTCCAAGTGATGGGATTAGGCGGTGGAACTCTTGGGAGGTGATTAGGTCATGAGGGCAGAGATTTCATGAACCGGATTAGCGCCCTTATAACAGAGGCCCCAGAGAGCTCCCTCACCCTTTCTGCCAGGTGAGGGTGCGAGTAGCCTTGGACCCAGAAAACAGCCCTCACTCAGCTGTACTGGCACCTTGATCTCAGACTTCCAGAACTGTACGAAATAAATTTCTGTTGTTTATAAGTACCCAGTATGTGGCATTTTGTTAGAGTAGCCCTAATGGACTAAGACACTGCCCTCCCCATTCTGCCCAATCCCCACTGCTCTATTGATGCTTGAAGACTCTGCACAGGTATCCACCTCCTTTAAAGAGCCTTCCCGGACCCCTTAATCCAGCAGTCCCGGATTAAGCCTCTCTCTTCTAGGCTCCAAAAGCACTGTGGGTATCATTTATCACTACTCTGACATATAATATTGGCTTTTAGCCAGTTTGCGGTCCCCTGAGAGCCAGTCCATCAGCACCTGACCTGGCATGCAGTAGTCAGTACTGAAGTAAACCTTGAACCAATCGCAGAGACACCTCAAAGTCAACAGAGGCAAAATGAAATGCACGAGCTCTACTCCCCAACTAGCTTCTCTACTGCCTTCTGTATCTACTCAAAAGACATCACCTGCTCATCTGAGCAAGAAACCTGGATTTCTGCCACTCACTCCCTTCGTCCAACCAGTAGACAAACCCCTCATCTGCCATCATGTGTCCTCTCCCTCCTCCCTAACTCCAGAGTCACGCGTACCGTTGCACTGTACTGTGACCCCAACCGGCCTCTTTGCTGGTCTTCTTTATAATTCAGTGTCCCTTACACTTCTGGGGGAGTCTAGTCAGTACGTAATTAAGAGCTGTTGCAACAGACAAAGCTCAAATAAACAAGGCTTCTTCCTCGTTCATGTTACAGTCCACCAGGGATCCTCAGGGAGCCCGGGTCCACTCAGACATTCAAGGACCCCAGTGGACAGAGGTTCCGTCTTCTTGTAGCTGAACTAGAACTGCACCGCCCCATCCAGCAGCCACCAACCTCATGTGGCTACTGAGCCCCTGAAATGTGGCTTGTCCCGAGTTGTGTTAGAAGTGTAAAATACGTACCGATTTCAAAGTTTTTTTGTTGTTGTTGTTAAACTCAAGGGTAATTCTTTGCAAGAGCTCAATTATTAGTTGTGAGGGTCATAATTTCAATGTGTGGCTCACACAGAGAGGGTGCTAACAGTATTCTCTGCATACATATTTCCTAAGAACAAAGCATGAACAGTCTTATTAGAGACAGGCAGTGTACACCATATTAGGGGGACGGTGAAAATATTCTTAATATTTTGAGGGAGTTGGTGCAGTGGAACGCCAAGTACTTGTTTCTCATTCTGGCTCCTTACTTCTGGGGGTTCTGATATTCTCTCTCTTTTTTTGAAATTGATATGCAGTTAACATGTAACACTGTATTACTTTTAGGTGCACAGCATAATGATTTTATATATTTATATAAATGATCACCACAATAAGTTTAATGTCTATCATCACACTTAGTTACAACTTTTTTTCCTTACTATGAAAACTTTAAAGATCTACTCTCTCAGCAACTTTCAAATATACAAAAAATGTGCTGTTAACTCTAGTTAATGCTGTACATGACAGCCCCGGGACTTAACTTATCTTATAACTGGAAGTTTGCACCTTCTGACCATTTTCACCCATTTCAATATTGTTTGAAATGTAAAAAATCTGGCTAGACTTATACTCATAAACAATGAAGTGATAATAGGTGTGATATGATACTTCATTGTGGATCTGATTTGCATTTCTCTAATAATTTGCAGTGTTGAGAATCTTTTCATATTCCTGTTAGTTATCTGCATGTCTTCTTTGGAAAATGCCTATTCAAGTCTTCTGCCCATTTGTTTAATTGGGTTTCTTTTTATATTAAACTGTATGAGCTGTTTGTATATTTTGGACATTAACCCCTAGTCGGTCACATCATTTGCAAATATCTTCTCCCATTCTGTAGGTTATCTTTTCATTTTGTCGATGGTTTAACTTTGCCGTGCAAAAGCTTTCAGGTGTAATTAGGTCCCATTTATTTTTGCTTTTATTTCTTTTGCCTTAGGAGACTGATCCAAGAAAATATTCCTATGATTTATGTCAAAGAGTGTTCTGCCTGTGTATTCTTCTAGGGGTTTTATACTTACAGGCCCTACATTTGGGTCATTAAACCATTTTGAGTTTATTTTTGTATTTGGTGTGAGGGAGTGTTCTAATCTCATTGTTCTACCTGTGTCTGTCCAGTTTTCCCAACACCACTTGTTAAAGAGATATCTTTTCTCCACTGTATATTCTTGCTTCCTTTTTCACAGATTAATTGACTGTAGTGTGTGGGTTTATTTCTGGGCTCTCTATTCTGGTCCATTGGCCCACGTGTCTGTGTCTGTGCCAGTACCACAGTTTAAATTGCCATACGTTTGCAGTATAGTCTGAAGTCTGCGAGGGTTATAGCTCCAGCTTTGTTTTGTTTTGTTTTTTCCAAGTATGCTTTGGCAATTCAGGGTCTTTTGTGGTTCCAATATAAATTTTAGGATTCTTTGTTCCAGTTCTGTGAAAAGTGTCCTGGGTATTTAATAGAGATCGCATTAAATCTGTGGATTACTTTGGGTAGTATGGCCATTTTAATATTAATTCTTCCAATCCAAGAGTATGGGATATCTTTCAATTTCTTTGAATCATCTTCAATTTCCTTCATCAACGTTATATAGTTTTCAGAATAAAGGTCCTTCACCTCCTTGGTTAAGTTTATCTGTAGGTATTTTTTTCTGATGTGAGGGGCCATTTAAATGGGATTGTTTTTTCTGACATTTCATTATTAGTTAATAGAAATTCAACAGATTTCTGTGTGT